AGCACTACTAAGCTCATTCTTTAAAGAAAACTAAACTGCGACTGGCTCATGTTGGTCTGAAGAAAACTAAATGAGGACTGCTTAAGACTGCGTCATTGCAAGCCTTTTTATCAGCTCTCCTTAATGTGACTTTGCAATCCTAAATAACATTATTTTACTTCTTGTTCAATGTCATTGTATTTGCATTATCACCACATTATGTATAATATTAAGCAGGCGGAAGAAAAAGTTTTTGTTTTAGCCATAAAATCAGATTTCTCGACGTATCAAGTCGCTCTAAATTGTTTGAGCTCAAAATTGTAAGAAGTCTGTGTGTTTATGTATGTGGTTCTTCGATAGAAACTTGCGATGATTCGAGAGACGATCGGCCAAGCCGTTTCTTTACAATTAGATGAGAACTGCAAAATTTCGTCTCGTCTTCACTAAAAAATCCTGAACAAATTAGATTAGATTTTAGCAAAGATCAGCGAGACCGTTTCCTTGCAATCCAATGAGTTTAGGTTGAAAAATACTTTAAAATGTTTTAGATTGCCTCTGCATATGTACTTTACATACATCAGTACATAAATCTTCATTTGTGTGGGTGAATCATATTAGCCGAGTCATTCGCAATAATCCGATTCGCAAACAAACGGACCTACGGACAAGGGTTGCATGAACCGAATAACGGCCCGATAAAGAAAAAAAATACCCACATATGTATATATACATATATTTCTTTATATACATAGATATTTTTATATATATATACATATTCCAAAATCCTTTACAAGCTTTCGTTCGCCGGGCGCTTTTTCAGCTACAGGATTATATGATTTTCTGCTTAATCCATTATATTTTATATTCGTACATTTCTATAGTATATGGTGAAATGTTTTTGCTTTCGAAAAAAGCTTTGAAATAAACATGTCAAGTATGTTCATGAAGATTTCATTGTTTAATTCGCATCGCAAAAAACGGTTTTTGAAATTGTTTCAGATAAATATGAACACTGATATAATACATATGTATATCAAAAGTATTATGAGTTGGAACACTCTTTTAGCACAAATTTTACAAAAGTATCGAGACTCAGTTTGTTCATCATCAGAGTAATATATTTATAATTAATCATTAAAATATAATAAACTAGGACGTGTTATCCGATGCACGACCTATGACTTAATGATAATAAATACATGTGTGTTGAAATATATCTATAACTCCTGATTAAGTCAATTCCAAACCCTCAATTTCTTAATCCCATAGTTTGAATTGCATTCACCGCCAAACTATGTGTAGAGCACCAGAATCTGTATATAAACTTATCCAGTTTCTAATTTAATATCTTGGTATGTATTGTAATCAGAGTTGCTTAATATTTACCATCGTGCCTTCTATGTTTACAATATGTGCGTTTAGTTCAGAAACTATACTACGGGATTACACAGTAAGCGTAACTTATTGTTGTTGCTCTGTTATTAAACAAGATGGTAAGTCCTTCCTAAAACTACTAATCATGTGGATAAATTTGGCCGAGATGTAGGAATCTATTGTGTTATCTATAAGGAATTGTTAGGTTGTGTTGGTAAGATATTACTTGAATATTGGGTAGTGGATAAATGAATTATATTAATGTTATTGACGTCGTCATTATACTGAGCAATTACTGAATCTGATGCAATCAATCGGGAGTGTTCCACGATTGTCGGCCACGCTCGTTCACTAAGTAACGCCAGAGTCCTCTTCCATCTTTTGACTCTTCATAAAATGGAATACTTATGAGGTCTAGCAGTCCATGTAGTGTAAGGTCTATGTGTCGGTAATAAGTAATGACACAAATTTGGTTCTCATTTTGTATGCAAAATTACTGAATCAAAAAAGTTAAATTTTATATATTTAATTTCCCTTATTTAATTTCGGTTTCCTCTAAAAATAAAATCAACAACCTCGTCCCGTCTATTTAGCCCGACTTCTTTAAAAAAAAATATACAAAATTTATTACCATATAACATCGGCCGATGTTTGCATAGATCCACCCCGTCGATACGCCCGGGGGTAAATATTCGTGTATTTGCCGAGGGTTTCCTCTGCAGTCGTGAATCTGTCTATGTAGGTATTATAAACTTAAACAAGATGTTTCGGCATTAAATTCACCCTACTTGCAGACTTTGTGCCCGCTGGCCTCATTCCTGGTCTTTGAAAGAAGATTCCAAGTGAATTATGGTTATGAAATAGGGTTGAACCAGATTAGTTCCTTCGGGTTATGTCTTTATGTCTTTATGTCTCATTTTAATTGATAAGTTTGGGCGTATGAGATTCAGCCCATTTCTTGCAAGAAGAAAAAAATCTCTATATCTTATTATAACTAAAATTAAATGAATTATATAAGAACAATTGAAAAATGTATTGATATTTAAGTAATTGAAGAAATACGTGAAAAATTACCATAAAAGAATGTAAATATGAACCACTTGGGATAGATGATATTTTCGCCGTAAAATGAATAAGTCATGGTGTTTATAAATTAACAAAAATGCTTGATGATTACTAGACCTTTAATAATAATACGATTACTAATCCAATCCATTCGATTCGAAATTGTAAAATATGCAATTATATTATGTATGCTTAATAATAATCACCAAATAATTAAAATAATAAATCTGAGCAATATATGAGTGACCAAGAGAAAATATTTTTATTATTTATGACTTTGCAATAATGTTTCGGTGGGCAATAAAAATAGTAATTTAAAGACATGATATGCCAAAATTGAAATGAAAGTTATTCTGTTGTAAGTTTATTAGATGGTCAATAAAACAATGTTGTAAATGCTGTTTATTAATCTGTAAAATACTTTCGAAAAACTAATAAGTGTATATTTTGGGTCGTGACTAGCAAATATTTTAGTAATGTTGAAACATATCATAAAATGAGGTATTGATGATTTCTATATATCACAGATCGTATCTGAACAAAATTGAAAAAAATTTTTTTTTAATAATTATTGCTCAATCCCACAATACTAATCTAGCAAATATCAGTATAAAAATGTGAAAATTTTTAGCTGACAATGAATAAAAGTTAAAACTAACAACTCCCGACATCCATCAATTACAAGAGCCATCAGGAAAGTACTAAATCGACTGAAAAATAAATGATTGAATTATACGCGCTGATAACCAGGCCGAAAGTAGAGTTTTCATTTTCATTTCGACACTGACGTATTTGATTATCTTTAATTCATATTACGTAAATCCATTACCAAAGCTCCCATTGACATTTCGCGTTACAATAGCTAAAAACTCAAAAATCATTTTCCAAACAAATTACTGAATTAAGCTTCAATATGACGGGGCGCTGAAACAAAGGGTGGATGTTAAAATTTTCCATTTTATTTAATTAACTGCTCGGGCGAAAAGCCAAAACGAATTATTATGGAATTATGGGAATATCGGGAGTAACCCTCTGGATCTAGATGAGAGTCTAGTGGAAAGAAATCAAAAATTTTATTTAATAAAATTTACATTTTTGAAATTTCAGTAACCACAAATGATCAAACACGCCTTGAACTCAAAATTTAGAATAATACCGTGGAACAATTTACACCTGTCCAAAAATCATTTGGTTCAACTTGTGTCAATCCATAAAACTTTTACTACATTGACTATCGAATGAAGTTTCTAGTCATAGTAAAGTAAATAGCGATCCAAATTATCTAATTACACAAGTTATTTAATTACATGTTCTAAGTGCAAATTAGTACTTCCCACTTTTGCATCAAAGTATTTAATGTTCCTTTGAGTGAGTATCCCACCAGACACTGACTAATAATCTTCACATCAAATCATATCAAAGCTCTGCTAGTCGAATTTTAATCTTTGACATTTTCAATTAACGGCCTAAAGACAGGACGTGCTCTTTTGTAAATCCTATCATGTCATCCTTACGTCATTTCCATATTGGCGAGGACAGCTCCTTCGAAAACTGACGTCTTCGAAAATCCTCTTACAGGAACTTTGGCTATTTTTTCCTTATCTTGGGGGTGAAAGTGCGTAGGTATATGTACATATAACCGAAAGACTTCAAAAATTTTTGGATCGATTCGAGGTAACAAAAACTTTTCATAGAAGGGGAAACATGATAAACTTTCGAGCTGTCGAGGAACAGTGCCATAATTTATAAGAAATTATTTATTGGACAATTATGAAAGCTACCACATTATTTAAAATTTTCAAATTTATGCATGATTGCAATGCAAATATAATTAACTCTTTCTGATTATAAATAAAATAATATAATCAAACATTGTGGATAAACATATTTGAATTGATTAAAGCTTATAGATTTAAAACAATCCTGTGAAAAAAAAATTCACGGCAACGCTTCATTTTCCAATTGCATTTATAATTTTAGCAGCTCAATTTTACAAGGATCTCTTCGAACTTACATCGAACTAACTTTATTAAATAAAATAGTGCTCCCAACATTTTATGAAACTGTTCTTCAAAGTTAAAAGAATTAAGAGAACTAGAGCAAGAATTACACAAGATATAAAATTATTGCTGAGTCGTCGCAAAATAATAAAGTTGCCACCGAGAGAGTTAAAGTTGATATTACTGCAAACTACAGAAACTACTAGAAAATGTCGGTTCGGCTGTAATTCAATGTAATGTCGTTTAAAGAAGTTACCAGTTCGGTAAAAGTGCTCGTGACATCTTAGTAAATGAACGATGTGTGGTGTCAGCGAGATATAGTGGTTTGATAAAGGAAGTTAAAAATTTTATATACTAATAGACCTAAATAATAAATTGAAAGCACTGCTAGTTAAGGACAACTGCTTTCTAATGATCACTGTATTTGTTGTCCTGCAGCTTACCAGATCTTTTACGTGTGATTTGACAGAAATTAGCATGAGACATTTGGAACTATAGCAAAGATTACACTTTTTCTTTTTTTTTTCAATTTTTAAAGGCATCGTCTATGTATCTAATATAAGTATTATTATTATGACTTACCCGAATCATGTGGCTCTTCTTATTAATACTTTCTGGAAGCTTAAAGACTCGACACCAGTACAAAGTGTCTTCGCCTTGTGGAAGCTCTACTTCTGGGTTCCTGAGTTCCCAAACCCTAGAATTCGTCTCTGGTGGTGGTTTGCTTTGATTTACTCTTTGGCCCAGAAATAGAGATCTGGTCCCTCGGACAACCGATGCTCCATAAGGCAAGGAGCCTGGTGCCACTGCACCCGAGACCGGCTCGGAGGCATGGAAAGCCCACATCACACGCATTGTGTCATTCTGAAAAAAAAAAACAGAAAATTAATATACAATGACATTAAGAATTGTTTAGTCAAGTGGTTAAATTTTGTTATATTAGTTAAAAAATGTTCAAATAGATAATATATATTTTTATAACTGATGGTGAGAATAAAAATACTTTTGCACATCTGGTTAGAGCTAGAGAAAATTTAAACGCACACCTGTGCATACGAAAGTCTGATTCTGATTTAAGCGGAACACTAAATCGTCTGAATTTATCTGCGGTGAATAATACAGGAACGTTGAAAGTCCGCCCGTTCGGAGCAACTGTGACACGCGCGCCACTATAAAACATTTTTAAAGGAAAAGCAAGGGTAAAATTTATTAAAATGGAAAAAAAATAATTTTCATTTGATTGAATATGTAATATCGTACCCGGGCCTTAATCTTATTATACAGTTCCAAATTTTATTCATAGCTCATATTAATTAAAAGCACATTTACTAGCCCCGACCACCGGTCTTCCGCGGGCTAGGCGGCAGTATTACTGTAAGCACTAAGCCAAGAGAATAGCAAATGTACAAGCCAATTTTACAATTAATTAACTCTCTTGATTTCTACGGGATTAGTAGACAGAAATAAAACACAACGTGTTTCCGATCACCTTTGAAAAGATTCGTCGTCAACCCTAGACGAGGAGTGATGTGTGGAGTCTTGACATTTTCGAATTTGTAAAACGATCAGATATTTAATTACAGTTTTATATGTTTCTAATAAGTTTATTATGTGTAAATTCTTTTTCGACAATGATTTTCTCATATGTATAAAATTGCTGGTTTGAATATTTGGTCGACCAGTGCTCATTCTACATTTGCAACTATAAAACAGCGTCTTTCCAGAGAGCGCACATGGGAAATGTCCTCTTTAAAAGTATACGTAATACTTTATAAAAGTTTAAAATATATCATCGAAACTGCGCATCCCCTGTTAATGTCTTCCCATATTTAACGAAAGTTAGAGAAATTCAATTTATATGCGAGACGTTCTGCATCCTCGGAGTACTGTTAAAATATAAATTGTAACTTTATGAGTTACAATCCGAGGTATAGTATAGATATTTAGATATGAAGATCCGAAATGCTGAGATATATGATGTATATAATAAAAGTATACTTTATATTTGAAGAAATTGAAAATAGCAAGAGTTATTTAATGTCTCGATTGGAAAACTTTTTTTGAGCAATGCTATCTATTTATTGAACTGGAGAACTATCATGAAATATTCGTAAGCATTTCATCATTATGTAGTAAAGTTTGAAGCTGATAAAAGGAATTTGAAACTTTATCACATAGTTTTAAAAGAAAATAATGAAATATATATACATACAGGCATAACTAATAAATGTGTATAAATTACTGTTACAATCAGAGGTCAATTAATTTGATTAAGAACTTCTATAGACCGAATTTGATAACCTTATATAAGTGATCAGTTTGTTGAAACATATTTATTTTAAATAATTAATGCTTAGGTGATTACAAAGTATAATTGATAAAAATAATATATCAATCTATATTAAAATTGAATCAATTATTTTCATCATTCCAAACAATCGTATCTGCACCAAGTCTAGAAGAAACTAATATTACTTTCTCTTGCATTTGATGTTCCTAATGAATAACATTTATTAGAATTGCAGCTAATAAATATCAAAACGCCAAAGAGTCAATTTACTCTGAGTACCTACAGTTTATTAATATAAACGATAGCACAATTTACACGCCTCTAATTTATAGTATAATTTATACCAACATTTATTCAAATATCCAATTGATTTTTACGTTTACAACCAACAAGTTGCCTGCACAATTTACCTCCATTTACCTATAAGTTATACAACTGTGACAGGGTATATAAATACCAAACCAGTAATAAATATTCAATACTTATTACAAATATGTTTCATAAAAAGAGTTCTCTCAACCTATATGTAGAATGTATGAAAAACTTGTTACCGGACGGATACGATATCATTATTTTAGTGCAATTTCTCATTATCATTTTGCCCGTTGTATTGCTGAATGTACTACGCACTGTGTAGATATGTCATTAAATAATGTATCAGGTGAGATAAAGGTAAAATAGAAAAAAATATAAACTTCATTTTTACGAAAAATGTACTAGCTTTATATCCAATTATATTCAATTTTTGTTTTTTGTTCTTTATAACCGATTACTCCATTTTTATAATATATTCCAATTCTAACCTTGCTTTTTCTTCTTAGTTCTAATTTTATTCAAATTCAATGCGACAATTCACATTCTATAAAATTCAAATTAACTATTTAAATTCTACTTCTTTACTTTTATTTTTATGCAATTTTAGCAACTTCAAATATTTAGTTTTAACTCAACATTTGAAATTCTATCTATCATTGCCAAGAATCGATCCGAAGATCGTTGGCGTGTGGTCTTCAGTGAGTTCTCGCCACTATTTTAAAAGTGGCCCTCTTATATTTTCTAGTTTGCCACCACTGTTATGTTCGTATGTTAATTCTACAAATGCCACAGGCGTTCATAATAATATTTCATATGCATATTCGAGCACCTGTATTTTTTTGCAAAATGCTCAATTGTATGTCGCAGCATAGCTACGCTGTTCATTATATGTCGCCACGTCAAAACTGGATACAATTTTCTCTATAATTTTAAAAATGAAGGATAATTATGTATCAGATTATTAAACTCATAAGATAATTAATGCATTTATTAAGTGCTCTTGACTTATTACTATTTGTCTTTTGAAAAGTTGTTAACATATCAAATTCCATATATTGTAAAGCGTTCTGTAACACAAAATTTTGAGAATAAAAAATTTCAAATTTATATTTTCATCAGCACATTTTAGAAAATAAAAATGATATCTACTTTATTTTCTCTTTAAAGACAATTTTAATAATACCGTACGGCTGTACTAGGTGCTGGTGTCTAGATATTTACGTTAGGGTCACCAATTTTGGTTGCCATATTTGGAAAAAATATAATTGCATTAATTAATGAAGCACTACAAATCATATCCTATATTCAATTTTCTATAATATATAAGTTTCTAGCAAAATATCCATATTAAAAGTTTAACAAAACAGAAAGTTACGATTAAATAGCATGTCACTCTTTCTCGACATTTACAAGAGAACGTAAATAGTTCTACGATCTGATTTACCTCACCAGAATTTTCATATTAATGATGTGAAATGGTTTTTATAACTTGTTTCCAACCTGAAGGCGTTAGAAAAATATACATGTATACCAACGTAATTTACAATCTTGCATTTTTACCGCAATATAATCAACACGGGATTGAAAATCTGCTCTAATATTAAGAACAAGCCGCCCGAGAAGATAAAATATGTAACACGTTTATAATATTTTGTAGTCTAAGTTATAATAATAATATATGCTTAAGTATAACAATATGAAAATTTATGAGTGAGAAGTATATTAGATTTTAAATGTGAATACACTACTGTTTTCTGTACTAACTATATTAACTTTATTGTATATTAACAATTAAATTGTATATTTCTTCATCAAGTTATTGCACTTTACATTGTATCATTGTATATTACTTATTCATTTATATATGTATACATAAATTACATAAAATGAAACATAAATTAAAATTTATTCATATCGTATTACACGAATTGCATTATGCACATGTGCATTTGCGTTACGTTAGTTGCTTTCAAATAGTAACAATACAGTAATAACTTTCCTAGATTGAATTTATAATTACTACAATTATTTTTTATTACCTTTATGTTTTGTTTATGATTACATGCAAAGTACTCAAGTTTATATTTTAATTAGCGTAATTATAAAGTTAATGCATTCTAATTAATATTATTTTGCATCTTAAAACCATTTAGAAGAGCTTTAAAGTTGGAAGCATACATCCTCGATGGGCTTTCGAGAGGTAGTTAATAGAAAAATAACTCATCTTCTTAATTAATACTTATGAAAAATTTCTATACATTTTTGACAATATTGTTTGTAGAGAACATATCGAAATTCTACACATATTTTCTTTATTTATGTAAAAATTACGAAATAATAATCACCAAAAATATAAGAAAATAATAATCGAAAATAATTATAAGATACAAAAAAAATTAATGAAAATATTTCGAAAGAATAACTTGAAAACAAAATAAATCTATTCAGATTGCTCATTTTTCCACAAGCATACAAGAACGAATTATTTTTCTGATTTAGAAGCAATTGTATATAATATATAATTGTATATAAATCATGTCATTATAATTAGCATGGTAATTATTCAATAATAAATTATTACCTTCGTCTATTACAGTATTATTCTAGCTACTAAATTACCCTTAATTTTCTTATAAGCTTGTGCAGTGCGAAGTTGTATGTCCGTACTGTCCACCCAAATAGCATTAATAAAAATATGAAAACGTATCCTCATTTACTTACAGAAAACATAATTAGTGATTATTACAATTACTAAGAAGCACATTATAAATCACTAATTACATTATTATTTAAATAAATACAATACATTATTTATCTTTTGCTTATATCCAAAAAGCAAAATCATTCAACGAGTACTGACTTGATTAGACTATTTTGTAAATTGCACTACTTAAATATTGCAACTAACAGATAATTTATAGAATCACGAAACTCGAAAATATTCTCTAGCGCGTACTAAATAAAATTGATTCTTACAATATATTTTCGAACAAACGATTTTATGTTAATAATTATTGTTTTATGTGTCTATAGTCTAGAATCGTTGTAGCATAGCAAGAGCTTTTGCCATTACGCGCAAATTACGCACGCATTCGCGTTGCGAGCCGACCTAGGCAAACAGAGATCTAATAACCGGAACCGAATCATCGCCAATTAAAACTGACCTCCCACGGAATAGAAGATAGCGCCGTTCGTTGGAGCGAAACGATCTGCAGCTAAAGTTGGCGCTGGTAAACATTATGGTAAATTTATAAAATAT